TGTATGATACTATTTTGTTATCTAAAATAACATTTTAAATAATAATATTATATATATATAATGTCCTGCTGCCACTTTCTGTCTACAGTCACCCCCAGAGATGGCTACATGGCAGGGCAGAGGAGAGAGAGTTGTCACCCTAAGACAGGAAGTGATTGAACAAGGATCTTCGTAGCTGGATCATCATATATGATCTTAATAAAAGCTGCAGATTTTAAAAATGGCTATCGAAATGGTTGAGACTTTTTTTTTTTTTGCGAATGTTATAATGTCACATTTGTTGGAATTATATAAAGCAAACTCTGGAAAATCCTGTTGTTTACAGAGCTCAGTAGGGCAAGCGGAAATTTACACAGATACTGCAAGTAAATAAATCAGTCCAGTGACTCCACCAGCATGTCCATTTTTTTTCCTGGCTGGCCATATGTGACTAATAATGCTCTGTAATGCCAATGTCATAGGTGCGACCTGTAATAGATGTGTAATAGCAGCAAATATATATTTTATATGTGTTTAAAATATTAAATTATGAATGTAAAACATATAAAAAATAAAACCGACTCCCACCCATGAAAGCTTCTCTTTACATTGAAATGTTGATTTTTTAACATTCTTTCAATGTGATCGGATAAAAGCGGAATCTATGAAATCTAAATCTAAAGAGTCTCTCTTAATAAAAAAAAAGACACTGCTGCAATATTGTGATCCCGGGATGTATGATAATGCAGCATCAGGGGGGTGGATCCATGACAGCCTAGGCTCAGGGGTAGTGAGTAGAATAATGCCGGCCGTCATTCAACCTGGACATCTAGTGGTGGAAAGAAGTACTGCGGGGACAGCGCTACATTGGAGTTTAGCATTGAAGGCAAAACTTTTTCTTTTTTCTTTTTACTACTACTGGACTGTTATTTTTTATTTTTTTAATATTTTCATAACATTGCTTCTTTGTACACTTTGGGGGTTATTCACAAAGCTGCCGGAGGCAGGCGAGCGAATAAGCCAGCTGAAGTGAAGTGAGACGAAAAACGTTCGGCTATTCACTACGGCTCAGTATGGCTGAAATCAGCTGTACATCAGCTGCTTTCGGCTGCACTTCGGTCAGCCGAACATGGTCTGCATGTTCGGCTGAGCCGAAGTGCAGAAGGTATTCGACTCAGCCGATCCAACATCTGGATCCTCTGAGCCGAAGCTCCGGAAGCTCACTCGCTGCCCCGGTCGCCCCTATTCTCACAGGGGCGGAATGGCAGTGAGTCAATAGCCGAATGCCACCGAGCAGCATTCGGCTTGGCTATTCTGCTCGGTAGCTCAGTGGTACCGAGCAGAATAGAAAATCAGTGAACGTATTTTTTTTAAAAGAAAAAAAATAATAATTACAAAAAACAACAATTGGGCAGAGCTAACAGTGACAGCTAGCTCCACCCAACTGCTTCCTATTGGTCCGCACTTGCTAGAGTCTGCTACCAGGTTCCGGCCAATGAATAACAACTGGGAGGAGCCGGACGTGACATCATGGTTTGCATGCACTTCAAACCTCAGCTTATCCCCAATGCATGCATGCACCGCAGACCTCAGACCAGCCCCAGTGCATGCACTTCCGACTTCAGATCGTCCTCAATGCATGCACTTCACACCCCAACATGCATCCACCACAGATCTGGGATACACTTCAATGCATGCACTTCAAACCTCAGACCCAATGTATGCACTTCAGACCTCAGATCATTCCCAATGCATGTATTTCAAACCTCAGAACAGCCCCAGTGCATGCACATCACACCCCAGATCAGCCTCAATGCATACACTTCAGACCCCAGCATGCATGCACTTCAGACCAGCACCAATACATGCACCTCAGACCAGCCCCGATGCATGCACTTCAAACCTCAGATCAGCCCCAGTGCATGTGAGTCAGACCTCAGATCAGCCTCACTGTATGCACCTCAGACCCCAGCATGCATGCACCTCAGATCTTGGATCAGCCCCAATGCATGCACTTCAGGCCTCAGATCAGTTTCAATGCATGCACTTCAGACCTCAGATCAGCCCCAGTGCATGTACTTCAGACCTCAGATCAGCCCCAGTGCATGTACTTCAGACCTCAGATCAGCCCAGATGCATGTACTTCAAACCTCAGATCAGCCCCAGTGCATGCACTTCAGACCTTAGATCAGCCCCAATGCATGCACTTCAGACCTCTGATTAGTCCCGATGCATGCACTGCAGATCTCAACTGCAGATCTCAGATCAGCCCCAATGCATGAACCGCAAACCTCAGGTCAGATCCAAGCCATGGACCCTGAGGCATGCAGAGTACCACTGTTACCATGTAGGTGGGCTCCTTCTGCACTGCACACTGACATCCTCAGCCGCTAGTGGGCTTCAGGATGTCAGTAAGGTGGGTGGACCAAACTTTGTAATCAACTGCCTAGTGAGCTATCAATGTCGGCAATGGCAGCGGGTGCCAGTGTACACGGTCTTGGGGGTTACCGCCGCCTGGTCTAAATCTACCGTATTCTATTGAAAAAACTATTCCAGAGACACATTTTAAGTGTTGCGGTCTGGTTGCGGGTTGTGGAAACCCATGCTGAAAACTGCCACAGAGAGTTTAATGCCCATTAAGCGAATGCACCAATGTTAGGTCAGATCTACTTGTTCATTTGAGTTGAATTTGTTGTTTGCCGGGACGTTGTATCATAACAATGATTATTTCTATAACGCCAACAATTTACACAGTGCACATGCACCTCAGTCCCTGCGCTCAAGGAGCTTACAATCTAAGGTCCCACTGCACATGCATACATATGAGGGCCAATTTAGAGAGGAGCCGATTAACCTTCCAGCATATCTTTGGAGTGTGCGAGGAAACCCACACAACCACAGGAAGAACATGCAAACTCCATGCAGGTAATGTCCTGACCATGGATTTAAACCAGGGTTAGGGCTAAGGCAGAAGTACTAACCACTACTCCACTGTGCTGTCCAATGATACAATATTGCATGACGTAAATCAAAACTCATCAGTATTCGGCACATTAAGGGTTAATGGCTGCTAGGTGGGACCCACAACGACCTAAAAGAATTTCTGTTGAAGGAAAAGAGAAAAAACAACAACCTCCCAGCCCCTTTCTGTGCCCTGTGTCTTGCTGTTCCAGTCCAGCTTTGGTCCAGCTGCAGAAGGCTCCCAGTCACCAAATCCTGAATCTGAACACAAGGATGCTGCTGAGATCTCTGACATGCCTCCCTCCCCTCCTCCTCCTCCTCCTGGCTGGGCTACCCCTGTCCCTGCCTCTCCCAGCTGCCTCCTGCTCCTTGTGCCATGCAAGCTGGAGGCTGGACTTGTTCCTCTCTGAGTCTTGCTCATGACAGCAGTTGTGGAGATGCAACTACATGCAAGTGAATCAACTCCTTTTCTGATGTGTGCAGGGGAGGACTTCAATCTTGCAGGCTGCCAGTCCCTCTCACTGCACTCAGCAGCAGCAGTAGCAGAACACTGGCTGGCTGGAGGATGCTGATGCTGCTCTGACTCCCTTTACCAAATGCCAACCGGCTTCCGATGGGCTGTGGATGCTGATCTGGATTGCTTGTGACTTGCTGCTGCTGGTTAGAGTGTGGGGTTCTGCTCCTTGGCTTCAGTTCAGCTGATCCCCATGTGGGGGCTCACTTGATCACATCCTCCAGCACTTTTAGCTGAACGTCTATTATTTTTTTTTTTACCCTTTAATAGTAGTAATAATAATAAAAAGCCTAGAGCTGCAGATGAGACTGAGTTAGAGGCAAGGGTGGTTGGGCTGAAGCACCCCCAGATGCTCTCAAGGATGGAGCGCTGCTATGCCATGCTCTTGGCACCTCTATGGATCGTTTGGGTTCTCAGCGCTTGTGCCAGCGGAGACATCACTTGTAGGCAATGTCACACCCGAATCCAGCTGAGGGACCACGGATGGTTGAGGGGTGGCACCGGGCAGGCGAGGTTCGCCAGGGAACTTGTTCAGGACTCAACTGGTGCTGAGGACAAGGAGGATGGCGAAGTGGGCGAGGGGCACCACGAAGTCGTACAGCTGCGTCTTCTAGGAGGAGACACCAGGAGAGCTCCCAAGTCATCTCAGAAAGGTGGCACCGCCTGGAGGAACCACAAGCTGCCCAGGGAGGGCCAACAGGAGATGACCAGGGTCAAGAGGGACCAATCCAGACTTGGCATCATGCTGCCATCTGAACCCAGTGACGAGGAACCATTGACCAGCTTCTCTTTGGATGCCCAGAAGGTCAAGAGAGCTGATGCCAAGGGGTCCAGGGAGGAAGGAAGGGTAAACCGTGCCAGGAACGAGGAACTAAAACTAAGCAGCACCAGCTTCCCTTTAACTGGAGACTCTGCCCATAACCAAGCCATGGTCCACTGGACCGGGGGCCACAACAGCAGTGTAAGTAGCCCATTTCCACGTTTTTTGTGCCCAATTTTGTGTTTTTAATTCATGAACTCTCCAAAGCTCCATGGTGATGAATGCCATATCCCTTCACTTTGCAGTCTTTATGTTCTATCGATGAAGTTTTATTCTACGGTCTGTTTAGTCTGCTGTTGGCATGTCCTATGTTACAGGTGTTTAGATTGATGGATGAAGCAATTGCAGGCTGTGCAGCATTTCATTTGAAGTGATATCAACCTGCATGAGTGAAAACTGAGATGATCGGGTCTCTTGTGTACAGCACAATGGCCATTGCAACCAGTTAGCAATAAGCTTTAATAAAAGCCATTGAAAATCGATCATTTATTGGTGACTATAAA